ATGCCTTTAATCAAGAGGAGAGAGGAGGGAGGGAGGGGAAGCCTCGACGTGAGCCGAATGCAAGTCGGATGGGGGGGGGGAGAAGCGCCGAGGGCCTCCTCCTCCTCCTCCTCCGGGTGGCCGCCGTCTGAGCTCGCCCGCTGCCATGAGCAGGAGAAGGAAAAGGGGGAGCTGGAGGGGGAGGGGAGAAGGAGAGGGAGGAAAGCACGCCCCCTTTGCGGGACCCACAGGCGAGAAGGCGCCCCTCCCCACGCCCCCACGCCGCCTCCACGGCTGCTGTCGCCTGAGCCCGCAGGGTTAAGTCCAGAGGAGCGGGGAAGGGGGACAAGATGAATCCCGGGGCCTCATAGCCGAGCTCAGTCCACCCACCCACCCACTTCCCGCGCCCCTGAAACTCGGAAGGCGACGGTGCCCTGAGCATGTGTGGAGGGCCAAGGGCGGGGCCGGGGCGCAGGTCGGGTCAACCGAGGCGACGCTTCGAAAGAGAGGCGGAGAGAGGAAGAAGAAGCAAGCCCACGACCGCGGATCTATGGCAAGTTTTTCGACTCTTTTTTATTTTTATTGTTATTATTGTTATTATTATTATTATTATTGTGAAGTGCTCCAAGACACCTTGTGCTAATTGTGCTTTACATCTGTCAAATACTGGCTCAACATTATTATTATTAATATTATGATTATTCCCGTCATTCTCCTTCTCCTTCTCCTCCATGAGTCTCATTATGTCTTTTCTTCCAGGGAAAAGTTTTTTTATTATTATTATTATTTCTCTTTCCACAAACAGGCTTAGGATTCTTTACAGCTTGTAAAAATTCATGTAAATTTCCAAACCGTATTTACAAAGCTCCTCTTGCGATATATAGAAGTCCTCATTTCCTTTTTTTTAAAATCAGTATTAGCAGAGGGAGTATTAGTAGCAGTATTAGTATTAGAAGTCATCATTCTAGTAGCATTATTAATTATCTTAAGTACAAAAACAGGAGGTCCTAGCTAATACAAGTTTCTTCTACCTGAATTCTATTAAGGTTTTTTTTATTCTTTTGTGCTGTTTATTTTTCTTAAGTTATTAATAAAATGGAAAG